ATTTTATGAAGTATTAATCGTACAAAGGTCAGTTTTATACAAGTAGAAGTGTGTATTTACCTGGTAGTAGGCTGTCAGTAATGGCTACGCCTCTCTCTTTGGACTGGTAGATCTCTGCAGACTGGCAACTTTAAAAGTAGCTCTCGGTTCAAAAAAGGTTGGGCACCCCTGGGTTAAGATAAGATATGCAATGGAATACCGCTTGTTTCCATCTATCCAATACAGATATTGCTCATTGCATATGAGGCCGAGGTAAACTGTGCCACAGAGTGTTTGACAGTATGGACTTACACAGAACTATCATTTCAGAACATTAGAATTAAAGCAGGCAGGTCTCTCGGTGTGTTGTGCTTGATTCTGGTCTTTAGCCAGCCAAAAAGTTATATTGTTTCAGTTGAATGCGAAATTATTGACTACATTTCCAGCCTCTAGTCTAAACTATGTCCTTTCTGGCTGGTTCCTGCAACAAAACCTTTATGCTGATTTCAAGTCACCTACCTCCCCCACGCGAATATGTTAACCATTCTCAACCCGTCAGCCTTAAAACTGTTTCACCATGTGTTTATATTTCCAAAAAGCCGCCATTGAGGCTTGTTTGCAGCTTCAAGTCATAGTTTAGTTGTTTCATGTTTATTTAGAGACTTTAAGGACCATTCTGTTCTGCAAAAATCCTCAAAGAGCATTGCTGAGGCGAGGTCCAGGAAGATTGACCCCACAGACCTCCATCTGCTGCTGCCCTGCAGTGCTGCTCCCATCGGTGCAGCAGCATCTGATACAGTGAACTCCAGGGGCCAGGAAGAAGTCAGCGTCGCTAAACTTAAAGTTTAGCCCTAACTTAGTTTCTGGGAGTCGGACCAGGCTGTTTAGCCAGCCTGCAGAGAGCAGCATAGGTGGGGACTACAAAGATGGACCCTTCGTTCCTCCATATGGCAGCTTGAAAGAGACAGGCAGTGTGTACCAGCAGCACTCTGCCTGAGGAGTAAAGTATCTCTGTGGGCAACAAGTCTTCAGGGAGTTAGAAGATGTAAGCATTGAGCAACAAGATTTCTTAGACTTTCTTCTCATTCAACACAATTGCTCAGTGTGAAAGAAAGAGGGAAAATATACACTGTAAAAAAGGATTTTGGAGGGTAGTATATAACCCATTTACATTTTTACTTGAGGTATTTAAGTGAGTAAATGTAAATGTTCACGTTTTTTGTGGTAGGTTGAGGTTCATCACAATACTTGTTATCTGCTTGCTTCACTGTTAGACAAGGAATTTAAGTTTGCTCTCATCTGTTACTCCCTGGAACTCGGTCACTGATTTTGATGCTAGATAGCTCTAGCTAACAATAAAGTCAAGCACAATGATGTTGACACAGGGCTGGAGTTTAATGTGTTGTTAAACAACTTGTGAACACGGAGCTTTCATATGTGTGTGCATGAAACGATAAATACTGAGACAACTATCTCAAGGTCATCTCTTAGTGAATAATAACCATCTTATATTCAGTCAAGCCCCAGTATGAATGATTTATGAGCCAAAGCTCATTGTTACATTTTAGGATTTTTTGTTTTGTTTAGGATATGTTGGGATCAGGGGGTCACAGGTTCAAACCCCTCTGCAGTCAGCATGTCGTTGTGTCCCTGAGACACTTCAGCCCAAAGTGCTCCTGTGGGGATTGCCCACAGTATTGAGTATGTAAGTCGCTTTGGATAAAAGCGTCTAACAAGTGACATGTCATGTAATGTAATGCAATGTAATGAGGGGCAAGCCCCGATCTAGCCCCTCTCTCTGCTGTCAAAATGAATGAGAACTGTAAAAACTACACTGCGCATGGCCAGAGTCTTTTTGTATTCAATGTGTGTGGCAAAAAAATAATCACCAGTGGGGCAGAGTGCTGGCAACCCCACCAAAACGTCATCTCATAATTCAGAGCTGATTGGCTGTAAATGTAAATGTGTGCCGCGAAAAGTGTAGTTGTGAAGAGGAGACTAGAGAGCAGCGTACAGCGATTAAAATCAGTAAAATGGAAAGAAAATGAATGAAGTTGACCATCTACTTCATTTCATTTTCATTTAATCGTTTATTTGAAGAGGGACAGTGCACATTGATGAACATTTAAAACAAATAATGCTTTAAAAACGTAAACATGCCGGATTTTAGCTTTGAGCTAGTTTCCATCCGTAGTCCCTCACATACAACATATAAGAACATGAATACATGATATGCAGAAAGAGCATGAGCAGCATATAAGCATTTACAATGTAGCAGCTACGACATGTAAAGTCCAGGAGAAGATAAAAGAGATACATAAAGTGCAAGAGGAGATACCCCTGTGTTAAAGTGCATCTTGATTGCACGTCTGTTTGTTTCTCAACCATTCTTTGAGTTGACCTTTAAAACTGTTCAAAGTGGGACAATCCCGTATCTCAGTTGGGAGGCTATTCCACAAAGAGCTGCCTTTAATTGATAGAACATTTTGACAGAAAGTGGTCCGTCTGTGGTGGACCTCACAGTCTCCTCTGGTTTCTGACCTAGTGCAGCGTCCACTGTGTTTTCTGTGGATGAATTCCCCTAAGGGGGGGGGGGGGGGGGCAGTCCATGTAAACATTTATAAATAAAACACATACTTTTAAAAGACTTAAAATTGTCAAAACTCAAGAAATGGTGTTTCTCAAGGATGGTGCAGTGGTGGTATGAATAAGGCTTTCTGTCAAACACCTTGATAGCTCTCTTGTACAGCTGTTCTATTGGTTTCAGGTTTGTGGCACAAGCAAACGACCAGTTTGTAAAACAGTATTCAATGTGGGATAGAATCATACAGTGGAGGTATGACTTTGCAGCATTGACAGTTAAGAAAGGTCTAATTTGTTTAAAATGTTGCAAGTTGAATTTAATGGTATTGGATACTTTCTTGATATGTTTCTTAAAAGTCAAGTTTGAGTCCAGTATGACTCCAAGATACTTGAAGTGGGAGACTAGTTCTATTTCTGCTCCGTTTAAAAACACATTGGATCCTTCGATTTTGACTGGTCGTTTACTGAACATCATGCATACTGTTTTTTTTTGCATTTAACTGTAAGCAAATGTTGTTCAGCCAGTGTTGAACCTTGTCCAAAGCATTTGAGAGACAAGATGTGATTATTTCAGTATTTTTCCCGTGTACAAAGATGACCGCATCATCGGCATACATTTGCACATTCAACTCAGGACATACATTAGGCAAGTCATTAATGTACAGAGAAAACAGTAATGGTCCAAGAATGGAACCTTGTGGAACCCCAACAGGGTTCACAAGGTAGGGGGATTTGGTACCGTTGACCAAAACACACTGTTTTCAGTTTGATAAGTAAGACCTAACCCACTGTATTGAATCTGCAGAAAAATTGAAATACGTCAGCTTTGTAAGGAGCACTTGGTGGTCAACAGTGTCAAAAGCCTTCCTGAGATCAAGGAAGACAGCACCTACATATGGGCTCGTGTCCAACATACATTTAACCTTTTCCACAAAGACACAGTTAGCTGTCTCAGTGGAGTGGTGAGCATGAAAACCAAACTGCATTGGGTGGAGTGGAGCGAAACCTTTATATAAATGTTTGGTGATTCAGCTTTGGTAAGTTCATTTTATGTCATGTATTTTGTTGATCTTCTGTGTTTTGCCTATAGGCTATTGCTCTGCTGGATCGATTGATATTGTGACACGGTCTTGTTTACATGGCCCCACCAGTGCAGAAATACCCGGATGTTGACAAGCAAGCCTCTATCACGACTTTTAGTTCACTATAACACAAATTTTTGTGGAGAATACGAAGATTTTTCCAGTTCTTGTCAAGCAAATGTATATGTACTACGTATGCTACTAAAGAGGTTTTAGATTGGCCAGTGTCCATGTGAAGTCATCTCTCGCCGTGAAAACAGTATTTCCCATGTCGGCGTTTTCATAGTAACGTGGTTGCTTGGGACGCAGCTCTCGCTGCCGGAAATGAGTATTCTCGTCACTGTCCAACACATTCTCACTCCCAACTCGTCCTATATGTCAGGATCCCTTGGCGTCATTATCAACGCATTGGGGGGCCCTTTAGCGTTGATTTTCAACTATCAGGGAGTCCCATTGACTTGCATAGAGCGACACCCCCCCCCCCCCCCCTCTCTCTATCCTATCGGAATCATGGATAGCCAGCTATTTGTTTACGCACCAGAAGCTTATATGTAAACATCTACGTTTTTCGTGCCCCACCACTTTTGTACATATAAAAACGCCACTGCAGCTGTCACTGCTAGCCTACGATCTGCTGTCACTGCTAGCCGCCGATCAGCCGCTAGCTCCCGCGTAGCTCCATTTCTTTCTCCACATCCCCAGTCTGTCCCCTCAACTCAGCTGCTACCCCGTTCCTTGTTAGCATTTCGCTGCTAGGCGCTGCTGGCTTCTCAATTCAGCTGTCGTCTAGACCCTGCTTAGCAGCTCGTAGCTAGCCGCTGCTCCTCTGTGCTGCTGACATGGCTCTCCGGAAATACTCCGCTTTGCAAATTTGGAATCTTCTTTGCCACAACACTCCCAATTGCCTCACTACAATAACATCACTTGGACTACTTCGCCGTCCCTCGCAAGTTTGTCAACTCCGATCATGACATCCCCACTACACTGACAGACAGGCGGTCCGTCGCACTTCGCCGACGTCATCAGAGCAAACCTCACGTGCACAGTTGTAATCTGAGATCTGTCAGTTGTATCGACGTCATCAGCCCACTCACCCCCTCTGCCTTAACAACCACCAACAATACTGCAACATTCATGCTGCAGAATGTTCGCTTCTTGAATAAAAAAGCACCACTGATCATAAACTTCACTTCCTCTGCTTAACTGAAACATGGCAAACTGGAAAGGATTTCCTACTACTCAACCAAGCGTCACCTCCTGGCTATGTCGACCTCCAAAAGCCCCGCTCCACTGGTCGGGGCGGTGGGCTGGCTGTAATATACAGAGCAGACATCTCGATCGAAGAGCTTCCTGTACCCAACACCACCTCACTTGAATGTCTTGCCTTCACTCTGTCTGGATCTGCACAGGCTGTTCTTATATATCGCCCCCCCAAAGCCTCAGCCTCCGCCATCTTCCTGTCGGAACTATCTGAGCTACTCACCTCCATCTGCTCCATGTCCCCATCTTCATGTGGACTCACCCTGCTGCACGTTTGCCTGACTTCCTGGCACTTCTGGACTGCTTCAATTTTAAACAACATGTCCATGATCCCACCCATGCCAAAGGCCACACCCTGGATTTGGTATGCACCACTGGCACAACTGCATCCCACCTGCAGTGCCTCAACCTGGCTCTCTCCGACCATCATCCTCTTCACTGTGCCTATCCCCCTCCCCAGACAACTTGTACTACGGACCATCTCCTACAGGAGCTTAAAATCAGTGAGCGCACCAGCCATAACCAGCCTCATAGCTACCCACCTGGACCCCGATCCCCCCGACACCTCGGTTGACGGCCTGGTAGCCCAGTACAACACTGCTCTTTCCCAGAGTCTCGACTCACTTGCTCCCCTCATTACTCGTACTGTCTCCTTCACCCACTCAGCCCCCTGGTTCACCACCAGTCTCCGCGCCATGAAAGCCTCTGGCCACCAACTATAGTGGCTCCACAGAAAATCTGGCCTCACAGTACATCTGGAGGCTTACAGAGAGTCAGATCATACAAGGACGCTCTCAAAAGCTAAGGCACAATAGTACTCCTCTCTCATCAGTAACCAGCAAAACCACCCCTGTATGCTCTTCTCCACCATAAACCGCTTACTCCGCCCAATTGACCACCCCAACCCAGCAGACGCCCCCGAGCTCTGCACCAGGTTCCTTGACTTCTTCAAGGACAAAGTCAACTCCATCCAACCAGGAACTCCAGGCCATTGCCCCCTCTTATTCACATGCAACGCCACCTCTGGTCACTGTTCCCTCAACTTCACACCTGCCTCAATGTTGTCTCTCCTCCTTTGCACCAGTGGATGCCCTTCAGGTTGCCAAACTTGTCTTGAAAGCTAAGGCTGCAACCTGCTCCCTCGACCCCATGCCCTCTGCCCTGGTCAAGACTTGCCTACCCATCCTCTGCTCCACCATAGTTAATATAATCAACTCCTCCCTGGAATCAGGCAAGGTGCCCACCATCTTCAGGATAGCAGCTGTCACCCCCATCATTAAAAAACCTGGTCTCGGCCCCGAGGACCCCAGCAACTACCGGCCGATCTCCAACCTTCTTTTCCTCAGCAAAATCATGGAAAGAGCAGTTGATGCCCAACTCCACCATCATATGTCCAACCATGAGCTCTACGAACCCTTCCAATCAGGCTTCAGATCCAACCACAGCACAGAGACTGCCCTCATCAAAATAACCAATGACCTCCTCATAGCTGCCGATTCAGGCCTCATCAGCATCCTCATCCTCCTGGACATCTCTGCAGCATTTGACACAGTCTCTCACACCATCCTACTCAACCGCCTATCCCTCTACCTTGGACTCTCTGGTACAGCCCTCTCCTGGTTCCATTCCTACCTCTCCAACAGGCAACAGTTTGTGACAATCAGAAAATCCAGCTCTCCCCCAGTCCTGTCAACCAAGGCGTGCCGCAAGGTTCGGTGCTTGGCCCCCTTCTATTCAACATCTACATGCTCCCCCTCGGTGAAATCATGCCCCAACATGGTCTCAACTTCCACTCCTATGCCGATGACACCAACTCTACATCAGCACCAATCCATCATCCCAGCTACCTCCCCTGTCACTAGGCAACTGCCTCTGCGACATCAAAACCTGGATGTCAACAAACCTACTCAAACTTAACAATAACAAAACAGAGCTCATGGTTGTGGCCCCAAAAACACTGCTCCGGAAGGTTGGAGTTATGCTCCTCACCGTCGATGGCTGCTCCATCAACCCTTCCCCTGAGGTTCGCAGCCTGGGTGTCACTCTGGACTCTAGCCTCACCTTCAACTCCCACATCAGGTCTACTGTCAAAACCGCTTTCTTTCACCTACGAAACATCTCCAGACTCCGGCCCTCTCTCCCCGACCCCGTTGCAGAGACATTGATACATGCCTTCATCTCCTCTCGCCTGGACTACTGCAATGGAGTTCTGTTCGGGGTCACCAGCAAAGCCCTGGACAGGCTCCAGTATGTCCAGAATTCTGCAGCCAGGCTCCTCACCCGCACTAAGCCCTGGAAACACATCACCCCCAACCTCATCCACCTTCACTGGCTCCTGGTCAAGTCACGCATCCAGTACAAACTCCTCCTGCTAACCTATAAATCTCTCCACTCCCTAGCCCCTGCATACTTCGCTGACCTCCTTCAGCACTACACCCCCTCTCGTCAGCTGCGGTCCTCCGACACAGGCTGCTCTCCATCCAGTGCTCCAAACTGAAATCCTTTGGCGACAGAGCCTTCAGTGCTGCAGCCCCCACCCTCTGGAATTCTCTCCCCTCTGCTATCAGGAATGCCGACTCTCTGGACACTTTCAAGAAAAAACTCAAACACCATCTGATCACTCACGCCTTCGGCCCCAGCTAAAATGCAGTACCCAGCAACCTGTTTTTCAACCTGTGTGTCTGTGTGTTTATTATTACTTAGTTATTCTATCTCCCATTGTAAAGCGTCCTTGGGTTTCTTGAAAGGCGCTATAAAAATGTAAATTATTATTATGTCAAATCAATTTAATTTACCACAGGTGGACTCCAATCAAGTTATTGAAACATTTCAAGGATGATCAGTGGAAACGGGATGCACTTGAGCTCAATTTTCAGTGTCAAAGCAAAGGGTGTGAATACTTATGTACATGTGATATTTTATTTTATTATTTTTAACACGTTTGCAAAAAATTCTTTAAAAACGTTTTCACTTTGTCATTATGGGGTTTTGTGTGTGGGATATTGAGAACAAAAAAACTGAATTTAATCCATTTAGAAATAAGGCTGTAACATAGCAAAATGTGAAAAAAGTTAAGGGGTATGAATACTGTCCGGATGCACTGTATGTAAAGCCAATATGCTTTAATTTGATTTCATATTCTGCTTATATCTGAGCAATCTGATCACTCATTTGAAATGTCTTGTTTTTTAAGTTTCTTTTTCTTCCACAGACGATCACAACAAAACCAACAGTTAAGGAACTGCAGAGCATTTTATTGATACGCAGTTAAGACGGTTTTAAGAAAAGACAAATTACTTTAGTAACCTGATTTAAACACTGTTTAAACACTATTTTGCGAATATTTAAGAACTTAATTGCATTTCCTCACAGTATTGAAATAAAAGGTGCCTTTTCGATGAGGCACCTAAAAGGTGGTCAGGTGCCTCATCGAAGACCTTCGGGAACGCCAAGAAGACCTTCATCAAAACTGCCAGGTATGTCATAGGACTGATCAATCCAGGATTCTGTTTTTCAGTTATATGGGAGGTTGCTCTGATACCATTGTTTAGTTTCTGTGATGAACCACTCTGACACCTAACAAATATATATTGCTGTACATCTGTAAACATGTTATTGTTTTTATAAATGTTTTAGCATTCACAGGGAAATTATTTAGGGCTGTATGTTTAAGATGGTTATTACAATTATGTTAAAAGAGAAAACTAACTAAAAACAAAAATATTTTTCTTGTTGTTAAAGTGAAATAAGATATTTAATATCATGCACTGAAAAGTAATGCATATGGGAAAGTGTCAATTTAATTTCCTTGATTAGATAGATGGGAAATATGACTATATTGTTTTATTAGTTAGAAATCTTGTTTTGTTTTAAACCATGCCACTAAATAAAAAAAATCATTAAAACAAATAACCCTGGTTTTATTTAAAAAAGGCTCAATAGCTTGACAACAAAGTCTTTATTGTTTAATACCTTCTTGTTAATATGCCTAATTTAAAGTGAATATGCTTTGTTTCTTTATTTTTAACATGGAGGATGAGCATGATAACCTCATGGACCGAACAAGGAAGGGGTCCTTCATTCCCAGCTGTTTTCATACCATGAGGTCGTAAAATGCTGATAAAAGTGGACTGTTTACTGACACTCAAAGGTTTTACTAGTTGATTATACTGAACTTTGAAGATTTGATTCAAAGTGTTTTCAATTGTAATGCACTTTAAAGTTCAAAAGAATCTGAATGCAAGACTATACTGCACTTGGAAGATTGATAATTTGTTCAACAGAAAAAAAGATAAATTAAATCTTGTGTGTGGCAATATAATATAAATTATTATTTATAATTATTAAAGGTCTTGTTAGAAATTAAAATCAATGTTGATGTGGCGTAATTTGAATGAAATACACTATTTCATTTAAATCTGTTTTATTCTGAAAACCGAAGATTCACATGTGACTTCCGGTTTTTCCGCTGGTGAATTTCGTCATTTCCGGTTAGCATTAGCTTGTGGCGAAATGCTACGTTTTCAAACCGTGAATTGAAGGTGAAATAACGTGATGTTGGACACTAAACACCCTGAGTTTAACACTCATTTATTGACGCTGGAATGAGGTTTATTAGGGAATGTTTAGATGACCACAGACATCAGGGTGATGTAATTTAGCAGCAGAAACCGACAGGATTTGCATTGGACACGCCCCCGTCGACGCCGGCCAATAGGAGAAGACTACAGGTCTTACCCGGGAGACCCAAGAAGGATCTCTCTCTCTCCTTGCCCCCAGCTGACCCGGACGCACGGGACCAACAGCTGGCAGGGGAAAAACCACCAACGAGCACATTTCTTTTGTAAACCACCGCATCTTTTGTGTAATTAAATGCTGTTAACTTGTATAAGCTTGCCTTGACTCTTTTCAGTCTCTCCTGCTCTCGGGGTTCAAGAATAACTAACAGTCTCCTATTGTACAATTTTTAGGCATATATTATATGTCTCAGATATATAAAAAACATGTGACTGAGACGAGGGAACCGGTAGTGGTAAAATGCTAACTCACTTCCGGGTTTTAGGACTCGTCACTGCACCACTAGATAGACTCTCGTTATAAGTGGTGCATGCGCAGTCCACACCACTTATAACTTATAACTATGCTAGTGGAGCACGCCCGTGAACTGCGCAGCGGCGAAACCAGGGCTGCCAACCCTCACGCTCAATGCGTGAGAGTCACGCAATTAACACATATCTC